TTGCGCGAACGCTTTACATACATTGTTGCATACGCTTTACATACATTGTTGCATATATATATATATTTACACAATGATACATTTACTGAATATTTGATAAAACTATACATATATGTTCGTATACATTCCTGTGAAGTTAGAAACTAGAAACATAAATCATGATCCAGGATCAACATGCGCGTGCGCCTTCTCCACCGTATCTGACTTTGCTTTCCCCGAAACCCGTTGATCCTTGCGTCGGAAACCGAGCAATCTGCGAGTTCCATGGACAGTTTGTGTTTCTACCTCATCACGGCCTTGGCCTACCAATGAAGTGCATGTGCGCTACCACACACTTAGAATGCATCTCTCTCTGTTTTTTTGAATATGATATGTTTGATCAGCCGCAAATTAGTGGCAAATACATCGGAAACAAGGATTGGAATTGAGGTCAGTGGCCTCGCCATTGTCAGCTTCTGCAATGGCTTGAGATTCCTGGCACACTGGACATACACACTATAAATAGATAGTCAGGTAGATAGATAGATAGACAGATACATAGATGGATGCATATGTGTATATATATATAGACGCACAGTCTGAAGTTCAGGAGGGCTCCTTCAATTGTTTGGATCCATGCCGATTCTGTTTGTTCTTGCCCCACAAGCTTCCGTCAAAGAACTTCCTCATCAGTTCGGGACTTAAAGTGGGCTGCTGGATTACCCTTGCCATTGTCTTAGTCGGTGGGCAAATATGTTCTGCTGAATGCTGATGGTGGTTGATCTGGCGCCACAAAGTTCCATCAAAAAAGCTTCTCTTCATTTGTGGTGTTAAAGATGGCTTCTGTGGTAATCTTCCCATCCTCTCCGGTGGTGGGAACACAACAAGCTTGCCACGGTAGCGCTCTGGATCCAAAAAAGCCCGCAGTGCCGAGTGTGAAGGTGTGTCTGAGTTGACAGCTTCTGGTAGAGGTTGAAGCCGACCAGCCTGTCAGAGGAGTGTGTTGAGCCTTTGCACTGCTAGCCAACAAGAGAGTATGCTTTCATATCACCTCCAATGACCCACATCACAACACTGAACCTGAATATCCAAAGTCAGATTTGTTCAGTGTTTTGCTACCGGTTTTGTTTACACTTAGAATGGCGCTGTTCTCTCCGTGCCTCTTTTGCATCTGATGATACCGACACTCGCGCCGCACCAGCCTGAAATGTGCCACACTCTTGGTCATGTTCCAAATATATATATATATATCACACAGAGTGTGGCAATAAATACATACATTTGTTTTGCATATATATATATACAGGTGACTGTATGAAAAAGACAAGTCACCTCGCAATCAAAAAACTTGACCTTTGCATCTGAGCCAGTAGTTGGGATGAGCATGTCGAAGTGCCCAAAGTGGTGGTCCGGGACTTCTGCTGATTGGCTGAATGTAAAGAACAAATGAGCACCCACAGCCCCATCTCCATAAATCACATCTTCACAAATCTCAGTAGCTGGCATATTCTCTTGCAAAATCTCATAGGTCTTCTTATCCATACTAACACGGATGGCGAATGGAAAGCATCCACTGATCCACAACAGATCTGATGGCGCAAAGCTTCCGGACTTGCGAATTTCCTTGATCCTGCCGGCTTGGCTTGGACATTGCTGTAGGGCTTTGTCACCTGCAAGGCTTTGTCTCAGCTTTCACATCAGCGCATACTCACACACTGTACATATTGCATAATACTCCCTGCATCTGACACATATATTATATATACATATGTATATATACATGGCCAAACTTGATGTGCATTTTTCCAATCTGAGGTCAGAACATATATCATGGCAAAGCCTTTGGCTTTCTTCCACCTCCCGTTGGTTTTGGCTTTGGTGGACAGGATATGCGCCATTGTTCCTGTCATTCAGATCATTCAGTTTGCGCATACACAATGGAAAGTGTGCGGGCATTATAGCGTCCCAGTAAATACACAAAGCATCACAAAACTATATATATATAACGATTGCACGTGTTTTTTTTTGCAATCAGGGTGTCAACATATGCATTGCTGTGCACGTTGTCCTTGCAATGGACTGGTAGAGGTCAGGAGATTGGCAAGCAAGTATCGCTCTCCAGCCACACCTGCCGTCAGCTGCTATGGCCACCTGCTTGAAAGGAGCTTTCTGCACAGCAGCTGGCTGATGATTGGAAGCGTTGCTGGCTGCCTGGACCACTGAGTTAGTGACTCTGGTCTGCAGCCGGTCACGGTTGCTCACAAAAAGATCTCCTAACCAGCATAGATTTCCTTGGCAATCCTTTGGCGTCCGCGCCCACGAAGCAACCTTCTTCCGGAAAGGTTGATCAGGGGAAGACTCAAATACTTCCATGGTTCCAAATCCATTGCAATTGACCTGGGCTGGTGTCGGAGTAAAGGCGAATGAGTGATGGAACGTTGAGCAGGAACCACTGTTCTGAAAAATTGGTAAATATCTCCCTACCTCTATCCCGTTGACACTTAGAATGCCAAGCAACGAACACACAAAGAGCATAAGGTAGGTTTGCCAGCATTGGTTCCAGCATGGTTTGTATGGTCTCACGACCCTTGTCTCCACCGAGAATCAAACCGCACGGGAAAAGCGACTCCACTCCGCACAAGCTCTTGACCTTCTCATGCCCGATCAAAGACTCCGGTTGACACGACGCATTGGCAATGATCTTGGATCCAAGCACATGATCACCATGGTTCCGACCCAGAACCACACCAATTGCTGAAGAATATTTGTTTTGCCAAGCCATGAATGAATTGACCGCGCCCTTCAAAAGCTTGACGTGGGCACAAGGTAGCACAGGACCAGATTTTGGTCGAGCATCGAGTAATTCCCTTGTGATGTCCGTGGCTTGAAGAATGTCTCCTGCACGGGCTGGCCCCGCACCAATCGCACCAAAGCCTTTGTCAGGCTGCGCAAGAGCGGCTCCTGCCACAACCTTGCATGGATCTTGAAGCTCTACAACCCCCACTTAGAATGCTCCATACACATACGAACACATATGGACAGTTTCAAGCTGGCCAACAGCCAAGCAACCAACGCTGCATGTCCCGCTTTTCCGGTGTGTGCAGCTGCCGCCATCTCCACCAGCCAGCCGTGACATTTGGAGGCTGTAGGAAATGATTTCTTGATTTTGTCACCCTTCTTTTCAAAGACCCCTTCAAAAGCTGCGCCTGTCCACCGCATGACAGGCTGGAACTCTCCGGGGCAAATGGCTTTCAGAATGGCATCCTCCACACATCCTGATGACATGACTAAATGCCAAGGTAGCACATGCTGGCAACCAGGCTGTAGCAGATTTTTTGCAATGGACCATGTGTTTCACAAATCCTTTCGCCAGTTTGGGTCAATACATGGTAGAAGTAATTGTTGGATGTTGATGCATTAAATCAGCATGACTCATTTCAAGAATGCCGTACAGACACGTTCTGTTGAAGCAACTAAGGAACCTACCAAGACGCCCCGCGCAAGAGGCATCAATGAGCTGATCCATTTGCTTCTGCTTGCACCAGCTTGCTTTGACGATGACTCCAATCTCATCCAACCACTCCTTCCTCACCTTCCCCTTCTTCAATTCAAATGTGATATCCAAGTGAGAGGTCTGTCCAGCAAAAGCCACCGCTGCCATCCTTGCGTACTCTTCACCCCCATAGTCGGCGCAAGGAAATCGTCGGCTTTGGCCTTGAAACTTCACTTGGAACCTGAGGCGTTCAAGCCGTGTAAGCTCTTGACAACAAAGTGGGCACTAAGATTCTATCTATCACTTAGAAGTCCCATCTTCAAACTGGACTTGCAACCTCGGGCATTTAAATCAAGCTCCG